AACGCCCGCGCTGGGACCGCCGCTGCGTCAGCGCGACGCGAGCCCGCCGTAGGGGTAAGGACGCAGTGGGTTCAGGACGCAGGGCGCATTTGGGCGTCCGCGCGGCAGGGACAATCGCTGCGGCGGCGGGCAAGAAGTGCGGGGCTGGGCGGGCAGGGATGCAGCGGGCCGCTGGGGTGAGGCTCTGCACCCTTGCTATTGTCGGGCGCTTGGTAACACGGCTTAGGGATCCAGCGCGTGGGCGTCAGATCCACGGATCGGGGGAGGTATCCCACAATGTGAGGGCAGCGCCGCCTCGCTTGGCGACGGAGCGCGCCGACTCTGCATGGAAACGGAACCCGTCGCTTCCCCACGCAAATTCAACCACGATTGCACTTCCTCGATACTGTCATCGCGCTACCAAGAGGAAGGCGGAATAGAGCACGCAGGGATGCTTCTGTCCACGGCGGGCTTCGGCTACCAATAGGTGCCCCCTACACAGATCCACGAGACGGCCCGAGAAAACCGGAGAGCCCGTCCTGGCCCGAAGTGGTGATCACATGTGATTGCTCCAGCAGCGGCTCGCTCCTCCACCTCCCGTTCGGCCGCCTCCTCTGCTTTTCCCCCCTCCTGCAGGGTGGCGCGATTCGCAACAACGGCATCCCCGTTTAGGTAGCCCTATCGCCAGCGCAGACGACCTCTGCCTAGCCGCCGACGCAAAACAGTGATTGCTCCAGCGTCTTGGCTGCACTGCGTGCGCCTGCAGCGTCGTCAAAAGTCCGGCCTCTGCTCGCCCAGCTCCTCCGCTCGTCCGTCTCTGCCGCCGCGGCCCGCGGGCGCTGGGACCCCCCCAAACGCTCCTCGGGAACCGGCCTCGGGGCCCTCGGCAGGCGCAGGCTGACATGGCTCAGGGACACGTGGATGTGGCGCGTGAGCGACAGATCCATGGATCGGGGAAGGCCCCCCCCCCCCCGAAACGTGAGGCCAATGTGGCCTGCTTTGGCGGCGGAACGCGCCGATTCTGTACGGAAGCGGGGTCCGTCGCTAACCCATGCGCTTGCGCCTCCGCGATCGGAGTTCCTCCGCGTCGCCGCTGTGAAGACTGCCCTCTCTTCCTGATCCTCCCTCTCCCCGCTCCTCCTATCCACCCTTGTTCTTCGCTGGGGGAAGGAAGGGAAGGGAGAGGGGGAGGGCGAGGAGGGGAGAATTCAGGACAATGAGGGCGAGGGGGAGGGAGAGCGGAAACCCAGGCCCTCGGCGACGTCGCGACTTCTCACGCAGCGTGGACCCCCGGGCTCGACGACCCCTTCCCCTGGAGCAGCCCTCCATCCTAAGGCGAAGGCAGGATGAAGAATGAACTTGAAAATGAAGATGGATGGGGAATCTCTGAGAGCTGGCGGGTCTGGAGAGCGCTCCGGAGCGCCCTGGAAAGATGCACACTCACCACGATGACAGGCATTCGGCTACACGCAAGAGTGACCCTGGGTAAGAGTGACCTTTGGTGCGCGGCTCTTCGGGGGCCGCGGGGGGGCCAAGCACAAGCGCGCAAGACGCTACTGCCGCATCGCGTTCGGCGATCGGGGGACCCCAGTGGGCCCGCACCAAAGGCCACTCCGGCGAAGGGTCACTTTTACGTGTAGTCGAGGCATGCCTGCCATCCCGAGCCACTTCCTGACGGCCCCGGGCTCGGCTGGGAGGGAGCCGAGGGCCAGAAACGCGTAAACATCTCCCTTCGTGATTTTCTTCACCACGCAGGGTCAGGAACCTTGGAGTCAAAGATCGACCCCCCGACGTGCCCAGGAGCGCATTTGGGCTAGAATATCGAAGTGAGTTCAGCTGTGGCGACGAGGACGCCCCAGGAAGCCGAAAATGGGCGAAGAGCGTCCAGAAATCTCGAAGCTTGATTCACGAAATTCGAAGGTCGAATTCTTCGCCGCGCGAGGGGGGGAGGAACGACGACGACGACGACGACGACGACGACGACGACGACGACGACGACGACGACGACGACGACGATGTGGGCACGTCTGGGGGTCCCTGGGAGCCGCCACATCGGCTCGAGCACGCCGAGCCCGACGCCGCTGCCGAGGTAGTCCGCGAATAGTGCGTCGGCGTGGTCGGCGCATTCGCCCAGGTGCGAGGTGGGGTTGCCCCCCTCCACCTGGGAGGGAGGAAAGCTGGGAAGTGGGGTTGCCCCCCCTCCACCTGGGAGGTGGGGTTACCCCCCTCCGCCTGGGGTGGGAAGCAGATACGGTGATGGAATCCAGGGGCCTCAAAGCCGGTCAAACACCAATTGAGGCTTGGCCATGGATGTCCAGGGTCTGAAGCCTCCTGCGCACAGTTCTGAAGGAGCGCCTCCACCGCATGCCCCCGATTGCGAATCCCCACGTTTCCAGGCGGGGTGGGCTATCGGGCCCGCTATCGGCGATGAACGGGCGATTGGGGCTTGATGCGTCATGCGTCCTCCCTGAGCCTATCCCCCCCCCTGACGGTGCCCCTGAGGAAGGCGGTGGGCGTGAAGGCGCGCCCCGAGGCATCTCGAGGGCCGCCCGCCAGGGGTATCACCTGGGCGCCCCAAGGTGCGTCGCCCGCAGCCGCTCAACCCAGCTGGCTGCCGCAAAGGCTTGAGAGACGCGCGCGACATCTGATATGTAAGCGGTTAATCCCATGGCGCATGGGAACTCACCGTCATCCTTGTAAGTCATCAGTAGTGCGATTCTTACAGCCCTTGCGAGTCATGCCGTTACATTCTGCAGAAAGGTGTCGTGGGTCTAGCGCGGTCGTCTTGCCGCACGACCTGCAACAATACAGAGACAATTGGGGCATCTAGTGCAGGCGGTGGGAGGGGTGAAGGGGTCGCCCCGAGATCTCCACCGACAATTCTACTGGGACCAGTGGCGAGGGTGCCGCCTTGGATGACCCTTGGGAGGAGGGGAGGAGGGGAGGCAGGGAGCCTACCTCCCCACCTCCCTCTCCAATATCTTCCTCCTCCTCCTCCTCCTCCCTCCACCAACCCAGCCCTCCCTCGCTCGGATGAGTTCGAAGGCTGAAGGACGGAGGAGGGAGGGGGAGGCGTCGGAGGAGGAGGAGAAGGCGGGGGAGGAAGACTGGGGGGAGGGACCCTCGCGGGCCCCCCGGGGCCGGGAATTGCCAAAGGCCTCCCGTCGCGATATCGTCACGACGCGCGGGGGGGTGGTCTGGTTCCAAGGGCCAGATTCGACCCCGGGAGGGCCCGCCCTGGGGCGCGGCCGGGCCAGCACTCCGAGGCGGACCGTGGCGACGAGGAGCCTGCCGCGGGGTGCGCCCGGGCCAGAGCTTCGGGGCGGAGCCGGCAGTGGCAGTGAGGAGCCCCTCCACGACACGAAACGAAACGAAAAGTCATACGCTTCAGGCGCGTGGGCTCGTGCAAACTCACCACTCTCGCAGAAATTGGCTACTCTAGACTTCCATGCTTCCGCTTCCGGGCCCCTCCAGGGGCCCCACAAGCTGCGAAGACCGCCACCGAGCCGCGGAGCCCGAAGCTCGAAGACCCCCAACCCGCTTCCAGGGGGGCGAGCGAGCGAGCGCGCGATGACGGTCCAGCGGGACCGGCCCTAGGAGGGCGGCGCGGGGGAGCCGGAGCCCTCAGTAGTCGGCCTGGGACTGGCGGTCGATCTGGATGAAAGTGGTGTGAAACGTCAAATTTTTGGACGTCTGGTGTATGAACCCCACCCTCCCCCTCAGAAATCGTGGGGGGTAGGGGTAGGGTTCGCATGTGGTCCCCTAGGCGCCAGATCCACGGATCGGGGAAAGTTCGACCGTACCCCCCGCAACATGGATGACAGTGCCGCTCAATCTGGCGTCCGAGCGCGCCGACTCTGTGCGGAAGCGGGGAACGCCGCGGATCCACCCCCACCCGCCCCAATCCGTGTTCGCGCTTCCACGAGTCTCCCTCCCGAGGGGACGGGGGTCCTCGGGCCACAACTCGGGTCGCCGGCGGCCGCTCGGGACGACTCGTGCACCCAAGGACGCCTCCTGGCGAGGCGCAGCTGCTGGAGAGCAGCCGCGGGCTGGAGCAGCGCCGAGGGCCGACGAAAACCTCCGAACGTCCCAATCCCCCCGCGCGAGGAGGCGCAGCGCACCCCCCCCGCCGGCTTGACGTCGTCCAGCATGGCCATCAGCACCCCAAGGGCGCCCGCCAGCAGCGCGCACGGCCAGAAGAGGCCGGGGTCCGCGAGGGCCGCCGCCTCCACAGCGGCCATCTCTGCGCGCTCCGGTGTCTTGGGCGTTGCTTAGTGGGGGGGTGGGCGATGAATGGCCGCTTCCGCCACCACATCGGGGGAGAGAAAAAACGCCCCGAATGGGGGGGAGGAGAGGGAGGGGGGGGAAGAAACTCGTGCACCTTTCGCGCCCCTCGTGGGCCCCAGGGACTCCCTGTAAGGCCCTCAAGGTGCACAAATGTGCACCTTCCTTCCCCCCCCCCTCGTTCATACAGGCCTCCCAGATGGGGTCGGAGGATTGCGCCGCATCGTCGATGCATCACCGACGCATCGGAGACGCATCGGCGACGTCGGCGATGCATCGGCGACGTCGGCGCGGAGAACATCGAGCCGCATCGCCGATGCATTGGCGATGGGGCGCAACCCTCCGACCCCATCCACTCCGACGCCTGGAAGTTGATCGCCCCCCCCCATTACGCAACGCCCGAGTTTCGCTCGGGCCCAGACCTCCGGGCGCCGCGAACAAAGCAAGATCACGACGAGTGCTGGCCGCGCGCCCAATAGGGGGAAAGCAGGAGGGGGCGGGCCTTCCCAGAAGGAGAAGCCTACGGTCGGGAACTTTCGCTTAGCGTGTCGCGGCGGCGGCCCCAGCGACACGCTATGCCCTGCAAAAAGATAGCGTGTCACTTCGCTCCGCGGGGCGGGAGGCTTGGAAAAGCTCGGGACGTTGAAGCCTGGGGACCTGGAAATGGACAGCGTATCGCGCCGAAGCCTGGTGGGCCAGAACCGGCGGAGCCACACGCTATCCAAAAGCCCAGCCGCCTTCCGAGGAGGCCTGCCCCTCCCCATTCCATCCCCCCTCAGCGCCCCGTCGAGTCGGGGATTGGCCCGGGTCGGCGCTAACTCGGGTCGGTCAGACCATGTCGCGAAACCTGGGTCAGCGGAGGGGGGGGGGGGGAGGCAAGGGGAGGGGCATGGCTCTGGCCGACAAGCCCGGGTCAGCGCAGGGGGTGGGGTGGAGGGAGGGGGGTGGAGGAAAGGGGAGGGGGGGAAGAGGCGTCTTGAGCCATGTTTGAAGTCTCTTGGGAGCTACCTGGGGCCTCCTGGGGCTCTCTTGAGGCGGAAGCCCTGGGTTTTCCAGACGCGGTCCGTCTCTTGGACACCTGTCGGGCCTGTTTTGGGGCACTCGTGGGCTGCCCTGGGCGCTTCTTGGGCCAGCCTTGGGCTCTCCGGGACCGCCTCGGGGCGGCCTTGGGCGCTTCTGGAGCTGTCTGGGGGCGGTCTCGGAGGCCTCCTGGGCCGCCTAGGAACGTCGGACAGCCGCAAAGATCAGAAGGCCAAAACCCTTCCAAAACTATTATAAAACCATCATTTTTTGGCCTGCTGGGGCCCTCGTGGGAGTGCTCTTGGAAGCGTTTGGAGCCATGTTGGAGGACTTTTGGGGGCTGCCTGGGGCCTCCGGGGTCACTGTTGAGGCAGGAGCCCTGGGTGTTCGCTGCGCGGTCCCTCTCTTGGGCCCTTCTTGGGCTTGTTTTGGGGCCTTCTTGGGCTGTCGTGGGCGCTTCTTGGGCCAGCCTTGGGCTCTCCGGGGCCGCCTTGGGCTTGTCTTGGGGGCCTGTGGGGCTGCTTGGGGGCGGACCTGGAGACCTCCTGGGTCGTCTTGGAACGTCGTACAACCGAAAAAAACAGAAGGTCAAAATCCTTCCGAATCCCTTGGGAAACCATCAATTTTGGCCTCCCGGGGCTCTCTTGGGAGTGTTCCTGGAAGCGTCTGGAGCCATGTTGGAGGCCTCCCGAAACCTCTACCACGTGCTTCGGCGACATGGGTCGAAGATGGGAACCATTCCTGGTGCTGAAACGTCAGCAGGGTCCGTCCAGAGCTGCTCTGGAGACGCCCCGGAACGGCTTTGGAGAGGCCCAGGGGGGGGGTCCCCTCGAGGCACCTGGGCAGAGGCCCCCGGCCCCGTACCCCGACACACACACACACACACACACACACACACACACATATATATATATATATATATATATATGTGTGTGTGTGTGTGTGTGTGTGTGTGTGTGTGTGTGTGCGTGCTATATTATATTGTGTTCTAGTATATTACATTATATTTTATTCTATTATATTATATCCTATTCTATTGTATTCTATTATATTATATTCTATTCCATTCTATTATAATATATTGAATTATATCATATTATAGTATATTATATTATGTTAGATTCTATTCTATTCTATTATACTATAATATACTATGGTATATTATATTATATTATAATATATTATATTTTATTATATTATATTACATTATATTATTTTATATTATATTATATTAAAGTATCGTATAATATAAAATATGATATTATATTATATTATATTATAGTATATTATCATATATTATATCATATTATATCATATCATGTCATATCATACATTATATAATATATATTGTGTACTATATATAATATATGATAAATGTTATGATATATATATATATATTATATAATATATTATGTTATACGAAGTGTGTATTATATAGCATATATTATATATTATATATAGTGTATGATATGTACTATATACTATAAAGTATATTATATTATACTATATTATACTGTACTACAGTATATCAAACTATATTATATTATATTAAATTACATTATAGTATATTAAATCTTATCATGGCATCGTATATCATATTACAATATATTATATTATGACATAGTATAGTATATCATATTGTAGTATAGTATCGTATATCATAGTACAGTATTACACTAAATTAAAATAGTATGATATATCATGTTATATTACAATACATTACATTCCTAGCATTTTATATTATATTATATTATAGTATATGGCATTATAGTATAGTATGTATATATATACATATATATACATATATATAAATATACGAACACAGATACATTCATGTATGCACATAATGCCGTGTGGAAAGCAGAAAAAGGTGGCAGGTCAAATTGGAGCCAAGTCAGGGGGGGCGGCCCCCCACAAAGGCCTCCCCCCCGACCCAGGTCGCGCTGGGGCGCACAATTCTCAAGGCGCCGATCCTGTCAGCGAAGCACTATTCGAACGCCAGTTCCCGCATTCTGCCCCCTTCGTTCGCCGCCGAACTCCAGCGCCCACGTCGCGACAGAGAGAAGTGGAGAGAGAAAAAAAGAGAGGGAGACGGGAAGAGCGAAACAACAAAAACACGACGTCTGAGGTCTGGGGCCGGCACGTGGCCAGAGTACGACCCTCGCAGGCTGAGGCCTGCCGCTGGCCAGGTTCGAGACCACCCGAGCCCAAATGGCTGCGGAGCATGCTCCCAACAGTAGCCACGAGCTGACTGCTGGGCACAAGTGAAGGCGACACCAGCTGGCTGAGGAGACTCTCGTCATCCTTCACAGCCTCGCCCACTTTCGTCCAAATCCGCCTGCGCACGGACAGATGAATAACATATGGATACGGAGGAGGAGGCGGATGAAAAGGAGGAACGGGAGCACCACTTGCAACGGGGGAAAAGGGCAGGGGGACTCCAGACGGGTATCGTTGCAGCGCCGCCTAGGCCCCAATTCGGAACACTCCTCACGCACGTCGCGCCTCATGGACCTCAACAAGCCCTCCACACCGAACCGCATCGCTGATGCATCGGCGATGCGGCGCAATCCGCTGACCCCACCCACTTCGATCTGATTTGGGCGGCCTGGGCGACTGATAGGTAACCTCATGTGAACCCGACCCGCGCAGGTCAGAATTATCCAAAAGCTGGCTGGGGCTCAAAGTTTGAAGGTCGTCTCCAAATTCTTTCCGCCGGTAGGACCCCGCATGGGAATATATTTAGATCGCCCTTAATTATTTCCTCTTCGCCCTGGCCGAAGCCCCCCGTCTCGCCCTCTGTTGCGCCTCCCCCTCATCATCCTCGTCTTCCTCCTCCTCCGTCTACACCTCCTGCTCGCCTTCCTTCTTCAATTATCCTTTTCCTCTTCGTCCGTTTCCTCATCCTCCTCCTGCTCCACCACCTCCTCCCTTCCCCCGTTTCCGTTCCGCGGGTTCTCCTCGTGCACCTTTCCTTCCTCCTGGCAAGGGCATGCCGGCTTTCGTCGGCGCGCTCGCCGCCGCACCTGGCAGGGGCGAGTTCTCCGATGGCAATATCACGAAGCCGTCGCGGTAACGGCCGCTGGGGCAACCCCGCGAGCCGCTGGGGCGCGAGAGCAAGCCGTTGGGACAACCCCGCAGGCACCGAGCTCGTCGCGGCTGCGCTCAGGCGGGAGGCGGCGCGAAGTTCAGCTCTGCCGCGAGCTGCTCCGCCTCAGCCCTGGCGTCCACCACTCCTTCGTCGAACTCCTCGAGCGTTTTCCGCAGGGGCGCCAGCTGCCGGCGCCCCGGGAACTCTCGCGCGGGCGGCCGCAGGATCAGCATGTCCCGCACGCGCGTGGCGCGGGAGAACATGACGTAGAGGCGCAGCCGCAACTGCTCGCCCGACGTGCCCGCGCGACCAGCGTCCTCATCCCTGGCGCAGTCGACGGCGGCGCCTTTGCGCAGCGTCTGACCTTGCGACCGCGTGGCGGTCAGGTGGGGCGCGCGCGTCAGGGTGAACCCCGAGCGGCGCATGACACGCGGCCCCGATCTCTCTGCCACGTGAGCTCCTGCTCGCTGGGCCTGAACGCGAGCAATCTCCTTGCCCGCGCCTCGACCTCGCCGTCGTCGTCAGCGCCTTCGGCGCTCTGCATCGGCATCTCGGCGACCTCCTTATAGATTAGGGACTCCTTGAAGCCGTGGACCTCCATCCCAATTCCCTGCGGTAGGCAGCGGGGGCGAAAGAGCTTGCCCGGCGCGCACTCCTCGTAGTCCCGCTCGTCGCCTGGGTGAAACCCGAAGGACACTATGGTGGACCGCTGCTCCTGCACGAGCCCCAACTTATTTTTCAGCTCCTCCTGCGCGTGCCAGAAAGACCGCCGTGGATGTCCCCCGTCTGATGCATATTCCGGGCGTTCAGGAGGCGCCGGCCTGCGTCTGGGTAGCCTTGAACCGCGCTGCACCCGTCTACGGCCTGCAAGAAAACGAGGGGCACGCCCAGACGCCGCGCGTCGCGACGAGCACGCATGTTGATCCACCTCTCCAGATCTCCCAATAGACGCCCATGCCGTAAACGAACCCGAAGTTCTCGTGCTGGTGCCGAGTCCAAGACGCCGGGGTTGTCCGACGGCCTGGTCGACTTTGCCGATGACCCGCTCGGATTACCAACAAGAAACGGAGAACCCATAGGGAAGGGGCTCCTGAGACTTCCACGCGATCCACTCACAGACGAAGCCCCCGCGTGAGACTTCCTCCATACTCAGTCCAGAAGAACCGAAAAGTGACGACAATTACAAGGTTCCGATGACCCGCTTGGGTTACCAACATGAAGCGCGGATCACATAGGGAGGGGGCTCTCGCCTGAGATTTCCTCGCAATGTAATTACAAACGAAGTTCCTGCCTGAAACATCCTCCATGTTCAATCCAGAGGGGCCGAACAGTGACGACAATTACAGGGTTGCGATGACCCGCCCATATTACCAACATGAAGTGCGGATCCCATAGGGAGGGGGCTCTCGCCTGCGACTTCCCCGCAGTTCAACTTCCTCGCAGTTCACACAGAGACGAAACTCCCGCCTGAGACTTCCTCCATATTCGATCCCAAAGAGCCGAAAAGTGACGACAATTACAGGGTTCCGATGACCCGCTCGGACTACCTACATAAAGCGCGGACCCCATAGGAGGAGGCTCTCGCCTGAGACTTCCTCGCAATTCACTCACAGACGAAGGTCCCGCGTGAGACTACCATTACTATTGATTTTTTTCCCTAACTGAAGCAATTCGCTGAGCAATTAATGCTGTAGCTGTGCTGCAGGGTGCTACAGTAAATAATTCGCTGAGCAATTAATGCTGTAGCTGTAGCTGTAGCTGTAGCTGCGACGAAGCTTTCGCGCGGCGTTTTTTCTGTTTTTTACGACGCCGGGAGGTCTGGGCCAGGAAGGAGAAAGGAGTTAGAAAGGAATTTGATAAGGGATTTCAGAAGTTAGAAAGGAATTTAGGTTTTTTGCGTTAAATTTGTTTTTTTACGACGTCAGGAGGTCTGGGCCGGGGAAGAAAAAGGAGTTAGAAAGGAATTGGATAAGGAATTTCAAGAGTTAGAAAGGAATTTCGTTGTTGGGGTCGTTTTTTTGTTTTTTTAACGACGCCGAGATGTCTGGGCCAGGAAGGAAAAAAAGGAGTTAGAAAGGAAATTGATAAGGAATTTCCAGAGTTAGAAGGGAATTTCGTTTTGGGCGTTGTTTTTAAACAAAAAGAAACGACGCCGGGAGGTCTGGGCCAGGAAGGAAAAAGGAGTTAGAAATGAATTTAATAAGGGATTTCAAGAGTTAGAAAGGAGTTTCGTTTTTTGTGGTGGTTTTTTGTTTTGTTTTTTTACGACGCCGAGAGGTCTGGGCCAGGAAGGAAAAAGGAGTTAGAAAGGAATTTAATAAGGAATTTCAAGAGTTAGAAAGGAATTTCGTTTTTTGGAAATTGTTTTTCGTCTTGTTTTTTTTTGCGACGCCGAGAGGTCTGGGCCAGGAAAGAAAAAGGAGTTATAAAGGAATTTAATAAGGAATATCAAGAGTTAGAAAGGAATTTCGCTTTTTTGGCTTATTTTTGTTTTGTTTTTTAAAACGACACCGGAATCTGGGCCAGGAAGGAAAAAGGAGTTAGAAAGGAATTTAATAAGGAATTTCAAGAGTTAGAAAGAAATTCATTTTTGGTGGCTGTTTTTTTGTTTTGTTTTTTACGACGCCGGGAGATCAGGGCCAGGAAGGAAAAAAGGAGTTAGAAAGGAATGTATCAAGGAATTTCAAGAGTTAGAAAGAAATTTTGCTGTTTGGATTGTTTTTTTGTTTTATTGTTTACACCGCCGAGAGGTTTGGGCCAGGCAGGAAAAAGGAGTTAGAAAGGAATTTAATAAAGGAATTTCAAGAGTTAGAAAGGAATTTCGTTTTTGGTGGTGTTTTTTTTGTTTTGTTTTTTACGACGCCGAGAGGTCTGGGCCAGGAAGGAAAAGGAATTAGAAAGGAATGTAATAAGGATTTCCAAGAGTTAGAAAGGAATTTCGTTGTTTTGAAGTTGTTTTTTCTTTGTTTCCTGGCCCAGACCTCTCGGCGTCGTAAATAAAAAACAAAACAAAAAAAAACAACACAGAAAAAAAAACAAAATTCCTTTCTAACCCTTGAAATTCCTAATTAAATTCCTTTCTAACTCCTTTTTCCGTCCTGGCCCAAACCACTCGGCGTCGTAAAAAAATATATTAAAAAAAAAAAAAAAAAAAAAAAAAAAAAAAAAAAAAAAAAAAAAAAAACAACCCCAAAAAACGAAATTCCTTTCTAACTCTTGAAATTCCTTATTAAATCCCTTTCTAACTCATTTTTCCTTCCTGGCCCAGACCTCTCGGCGTCTTAAAAAAGCAAAACAAAAAAACAACCCCCAAAACGAAATTCCTTGCTTGCTAACTCTTGAATTTCCTTATCAAATTCCTTTCTAACTCGTTTTTTCCTTCCTGGCTCAGACCTCTCGGCGTCGTAATAATAATACAACAACCAAAAAACAAAATTCCTTTCTAACTCTTGAATTTCCTTATCGAATTCCTTTCTAACTCCTTTTTCCCTTCCTGGCCCTGGCTTCCTCGGGCAATTCGGACTCGATTGTCTTTGAGGTTCAGAACTATCTCTGGTATTCAAATTCCTTTCTAACTCAGGAAATTCCTTATCGAATTCCTTTCTAACTTCCCAACTCAATAGAAATGCATAACCAAAATGCTCTTGGCAATATTTCGAGCCTACATGATTAATTCCCGACACAATTATTGATGTAATTGCATGCAGTGCGCACTACAGAAATAATTCAGAAACCAATTAAAGCTGTACTGTAACCAAAAAAATTCAATGGTATATTCAACCCAGAGGAGCCGAAAACTGAAGACACTTACAAGGTTCCGATGGCGCGTGCGGATTACCAACATGAAGCGCGGACCCCATAAGGAGGGGGCTCCCGCCTGAGACCTCCTCGCAATTCAATCACAGACGAAACTGCTACCTGAGACCTCCTCCATATTCAATCCAGAGGAGCCGAACAATGACGACAATTAGAAGGTTCCGATGACCCGCTCGGATTACCAACATGAAATGCGGACCCCATAGGGAGGGGCTCTCGCCTGAGACTTCCTCGCACTTCACTCACAGACGAAGCTCCCGCCTGAGACTTCCTCCATATTCAATCCAGAAGAGCCGATGACAATTTTAAG